AGGTTGTTTTCTAAAGAGGAAACAGCCCGGTGTCTGCTTTATAGATGGAGATGGGTAAATAGGGGGCTTCCCTGCGGGCCCAGACTGTAAAGAATATGCCTGCACTACAGGAGACCTGGGTTCAGTCCCCAGGTCGGGAAAATCTCCTGGAGAAGGGAACGGCAACCCACTCCAGTATTCCTGCCTGGAGACTCCCATGGACATAGGAGCCTGACAGGCTACAGACCATAGGCATGCAAAGAGTCGGACACGACTGAAACAACTGGATAAATAGAAGAATGGATAAATAGAAGAATATTATCCAGTTGTCATTATTGAAAAGTTGTAATAAGGTTTTCCTAATAACAGTGACATCTAAGAGGAAGCTCCACCCAGACACAACATCTTTGGGTTGAGTGAGACCATCAGCGGATGAGAGCCATAGGAAGAACCTTCAATATTCAGAAAGGAATCTACTGACAAAACTGGCTCACGCAGGAAAGACTTGGGTCTGATTAACAGGGGTGTGGGCTGGCTTCCTCCATCAACGGGCACATGTGAGGAAGCCAGGATGACTTCCATCACCCTCAGGATGGGGTGGGGAGGAGGTGCCAGCAGTGAGATTTCCCTTTAAGAATCTCCCTCTTTGCCTCTGGACTTCTGCCTTCCCTGGCCTCTTCCCAGTGAGATGGAAAACCATCCAAAGATGCTGTGAGAGCCCACGGTATGTCCCTGGTGGTCCAATGATTAAAAATCCACCTTGCAATGACATGGGTTCAAACCCCAGGGACACGGGTTCAATCCCTGGTTGGAAAACTAAGATCCCATATGCCTTCAAGCAACTAACCCACATGCCACAAGTAGAATCCGCAGGTCACAATTAGAGAGTCTGCACACTGCACCGGAAGATCCCACAGCACGCAGTGGAGATCCTGAGGGCCCCAAGTACGGCCCGATGAGGCTAAAAAAAACACTATGAGAGAAAAGAGCAGGGATGATATGGTATCATGAGCCAAGAATTGATGCTTCTGAACTGTGGTGCCTGAGAAGATTCAAGAGTCCCTTGGACTGCAAGGAGATCCACCCAGTCCATCCCAAAGGAAATCAGTCCTGAATGTTCACTGGAGGGACTGATGCTGAAGCTGAAACTCCAGTCCTTTGGCCACCTGATGGGAAGAGGTGACTCACTGGAAAAGACCCTGATGCTGGGAAAGATTGCGGGCAGGAGGAGAAGGGGACGACAGAGGATGAGACGGTTGGACGGCATCACCGACTCGATGGACATGAGTTTGAGCAAACTCCGGGAGTTGGTGGTGGACAGGGAAGCCTGGCGTGCTGCAGTCCATGGGGTCGCAAAGAGTCAGACAGTACTTAGCAGCTGAACAACAACAGCAATCTGAACAGTCTGTGTGCACTGTTCCCAATACTATTAACATTTTCAAGGAGGGAAAGAACCAGGGCCAACGAGCAGATAAAAGAAGCGGGGAGACTTCTGACTGTCTATGAGAAAAAACGTTTGTTTGGGACTTCCCTGGCGGTCCAGTGGTTAAGACTCCATGCTTCCACTGCAGGGGGCCACGGGTCGATCCCTGGTCGGGGAACTAAAAATCCCTCATGCCGCACAGAGTGGAGAAATTGATAAAACAAAATCTCTCTCTTTTTTTTTTTTTTTTAAAAAAGAGAGTTTTGATGAGTTCCCACTGCCAAGTTTTCCATCATTAGAGAAAAGGCAGAATAGTGTGACAGGAGGTTAAGATCTTCGAAGCCCCCCTTCAGCCTTCAAAGTGACGGCTGTCTAACCCCCAACGGAGATTAAATGTGGAAGCTGCAATAACTCTTTTTCCCTATGGTGGACGAAGCATAAAGGACAAGTATTCATGCCTCTCCACTCTGCACTTGCTGACTCTCTGACACTTTCCATTTTCACATCAACCCATTTGGCAGCATTCAAGGCTGAACCCATTTGCAGGAGAGGAAACCAAGGCCCAGGAAGCTTGGGGCTTTGAAGCTGTTAAAACAGCCAAGATGCGAAGCCCTGCATGCTTTGTATGCACGGCTCCAGGACCTCTGTTCTTCTCTGGAGCACCAGCTGCTCTCCAGGTGTGCTCCAGACACCCACGGGCATTCCCAGAGATCTACCAGGAGGTCTACGAGCTGAAACGATCTCCATGGCGATTCAAAACATTCTTTGATCTCTTGCATCACTGGTCTTTCACGAGTTCATGGGGGGTCTCTCCCCAGAGGCTCCACCATCACTCTGCCAGCTGACTCAATGTCTGCTTGGGCGCTCTTGCGTTTAAAGACTCTGGTTTGAAGATCTGAGTACTAATATGGCGAACATAGATGGATACCACCCACAGAGGCAGAAGCACCTTTGGGTTCCTCGATCAGTGAAGTGTTTGTGAGGGTCTTGAGACCAGAACTCCATGAAAACAGTTAATCAGCGTGCCTCACGTGGAACTCCGCAGATGGGTCATAACACATAAGAAGGGCTACACTCTATAATTTCTCCTTTCTCATTTGTGCGTGTGTATGTGTGTGTGTGGTGCATGGGCACACCTCTGGCAGAAGGTATACCCAATGTAGAAATTTGGAAAAAAGAAGAAAAAGGGAAGAGTGAACCAAGCTTGAGCAAACCTCCGCCTGGACTCAGCTCTGGCCGAGCTGTTGTTTTTGTCCCTGGTTTCCCAGTCTCCGCTGGGTTTCCCCGGCAGCTGAATTTAAACCGGATTTGTGGCCTGTGCACCCCCATCGCCTGCCACCGACGGCGATGTCATCGGAAGCTGTATTTAAATGGAAGAGAAAGACGTTTCATTTAGAACCTGCTAGATGAAGACGTGCTGGGGAAACAGGCCTGATGGAGAAGCCAGATCCCTTTCTTGGTTCTCCTGCAGCAAAGAGCCTCTGGGTGGGGCTGGGAGGAGGCGTGTGTGATGACAGGAGGGGGCTTACTCTGTCCAGCTGCCCTGCTGCAAGCCGATGAGACAGAGAGAGACAGAGGGAGAAAAAAATCCATCGTATGCCAAAAGAGGGAAGCTCAGCTAGAGACTGCAATTCCATTCCTGGGCATATACCATACACTCTATGGAATTCTCCAGGCCAGAATACCAGAGTGGGTAGCCGTTCCCTTCTCCAGGGGAATCTTCCTAACTCAGGGGTGGAACCCAGGTCTCCCGCATTGCAGGCGGATTCCTCACCAGCTGAGTCGCCAGGGAAGCCCATCACAATGGTTAAAAACCCATGTGCCCCGATGTCCACTGCAGCATTATCTACAACAGCGGGGACATGGAAGCAACCCAGCTGTCCATCAACAGGTGAATGGGCAAAGAAGAAGTGGGATGTGCATGTGATGGAATATTACTCAGCCATGAAAAAGAAACAAAACTGGATCTTTCCTAGAGACGTGGATGGACCCAGGGACTAGAAGAAATTAGGTCAGCTGATAGGAATACCAGATATGGATGCATATATGGAATCCAGAAAACTGGTAGAGAGGAACCCATTTGCAGGGAAGAGATACAGACACAGACATAGAGGTTTGACGTGTGGACACACAAGTGGGAGGAGACGATAGGATGAATTGAGAGGGAAGCACTGACATATATACACGACCACGTGTAAAACAGACGGCTGGTGGGAAGCTGGCATGTAGCACTGGGGCTCAGTTCGGGGCTCTGTGACGGCCTAGAGGGGAGGGATGGGAGGTGGGAGGGAATCTCAGGAGGGAGGGGATATGTGTATCCTTATAGCCGATTCACAATGTGGGAAAGCAGAAACCAACACACTGTCATAGAGCAATTATTCGCCAACTTAAAAAATGCAGATCCAACGTGACAGGGGAATTAAATTTTAAATGAAAGAACGCAAAACAAAACAAAGACGCGGAGCATCCAGCCCCATCGGGCCTCGGACTTTGTTTCCCCTGGGATAACAGGATGGACAGAGCCATGCTTAAGTTGATGGACCCACCACAGTCACCAGGGAAGCCCAAGAAGACAGGAGTGGGTAGCCTATCCCTTCTGCAGGGGATCTTCCCAGCCCAGGAACCAAACCAGGGCCTCCTGCATTGCAGGCGGATTCTAGAACACTGGAGTGGGTAGCCTATCCCCTTCTCCAGGGGATCTTCCCGACCCAGGGATCAAACCCAGGTCTCCCGCATTGCAGGCGGGTTCTTTACCAGCTGAGCCACAAGGGAAGCCCAAGAAGACTGGAGTGGGTAGCCTATCCCCTTCTCCAGGGGATCTTCCCAGCCCAGGAATCAAACCAGGGCCTCCAGGATTGCAGGAGGATTCGAGAAGACTGGAGTGGGTAGCCTGTCCCTTCTGCAGGGGATCTTCCCAGCCCAGGAATCAAACCAGGGCCTCCTGCATTGCAGGCGGACTCGAGAAGACTGGAGTGGGTAGCCTATCCCCTTCTCCAGGGGATCTTCCCGACCCAGGGATCAAACCCAGGTCTCCCGCATTGCAGGCGGGTTCTTTACCAGCTGAGCCACAAGGGAAGCCCAAGAAGACTGGAGTGGGTAGCCTATCCCCTTCTCCAGGGGATCTTCCCAGCCCAGGAATCAAACCAGGGCCTCCAGGATTGCAGGAGGATTCGAGAAGACTGGAGTGGGTAGCCTATCCCCTTCTCCAGGGGATCTTCCCAGCCCAGGAATCGAACCAGGGTCTCCTGCATTGCAGGAGGATTCTTTACCAGCTGAGGCAGTCTCCCGCATTGCAGGCAGATTCTTTACCAGCTGAGGCAGCAGGGAAGCCCAAGAAGACTGGAGTGGGTAGCCTATCCCCTTCTCCAGGGGATCTTCCCTGCCCAGGAATCGAACCAGGGTGTCCCGCATGGCAGGAGGATTCTTTACCCGCTGAGGCAGCAGGGAAGCCCCTTAACCCACCAGTTATCTTCCATAAGTGGCCATGGATGGATAACCGGTCCCGTCGCAGGCAGCCTGCCACGGAGCAGGTGATCCAGAGCTCCCCGGCCTGCAAAACCTGAGTGAGAGCAGCGCAGGGAGCCGGGAGTCAGGGTACCTGTCTTGCGGCAGAGGGGACCCCGCGAGTTTGGCCACCGTGGGGAAGATGTCCATGTTGCTGGTGGGCTGGTCAATCTCCAGGCCGGCCGGGATCACGCCCGGCCACCGCACGATGCCGGGGACCCGGATGCCTCCTTCCCAGTTGTTCGCTTTTCCCCCTGGAACGCAGAAGGAGACGCGTCAAGGAGACCTGTCTTTCCAACACTCGCCCTGGGGCGGCCAGTCTGGGAGAACCGAGTGCTTTGACGACAGGGATGGGACGACAATCTCCGAGTTATCTGCGGCTTCCCCGGGGGCTCGAGTGGGAAAGAGCCCGCCTCCCAAAGCAGGAGACGCGGGCTCCGTCACTGGTCGGGGAAGATCCCACTTGCCTCAGAGCAACTAAGCCCGTGAGCCACAAGTATTGAGCCCGTGCTTAAAGCCCGCGGGGCCGGAATGACTGGGCCACGGGCTGCAGCGACTGACGTCCGAGTGTCCTGGGGCCCGCGCTCCATAACAGAAGCCAGTGCAACGACGTCTCGGCGGCAACGAGAGAACAGCCCGCAGTCTCCAAGCTAGAGAAAAGCCCGGCTACCCAAGAAGACCCAGCACGGCCAAAAATAAAGAAAATTACTAAAAACTACATTGTGCCTGTTGTGATGAAAAATATATATGTTAAGTTACACATGATTATAAAATATGCAATATTTAAAATGTATAATTGTATACTGGAAATATGTAAAGTTATCTGTAATTATATATAAAGTATCTGTTTAATATATATTCATATATATATTATAAAATATATAGTTATATATAATTATAATAGTTATATATAAAGTCATAATGATAATATAAAACATTATATATATTTATATATAAATTATAAAGTATATAAAGTTATCTATAACTATAAAATATACATTATGTTTAATATATATTCATATATAAATTAAAAATAGTTATCTATAATTCTAATATAGTTATATATAATATATATAAAGTCATATATGATAAAATATAAAATTATATAATTTATATATAAATTATAAAGTATATAAAGTTATCTATAATTATAATATATGTGAATTATATATTTAATATATTCATATATATAATTATAACATAGTTACGTAGCTTTTAATATATCATATATAAGTTCAGTTCAGTCGCTCAGTCGTGTCCGACTCTTTGCGATCCCATGAATTGCAACACGCCAGGCCTCCCCGTCCATCACCAGCTCCCATAAAGTCATATATAATTCTAACATTCAGTTCAGTCGCTCAGTCGTATCAGACTCTTTGCGACCCCAAGAATCACAGGCTTCCCTGTCCATCACCAACTCCCGGAGTTTACTCAAACTCATCTCCATCGAGTCAGTGATGCCATCCAACCACCTCATCCGCTGTCATCCCCTTCTCCTCCCGCCTTCAATCTTTCCCAGCATCAGGGTCCTTTCCAATGAATCACTTCTTCACATCAGGTGGCCAGACGACTGGAGTTTCAGCTTCAGCATCAGTCCTTCCAATGACTATTCAGGACTGATTTCCTTTAGGATGGACTGGTTGGATCTCCTTGCAGTCCAAGGGACTCTCAAGAGTCTTCTCAACACCACAGTTCAAAAGCATTAATTCTTCGGCTAGTATACATAATATACATATAAAATATAATATACTACATATAATATGTATAATAATATATAATACATTATAACATATGTTTTGTGTATACACACACACACATATATATACACACACATACATATATATAAATAGTGTTGGCCGAAAAGTTTGTTCAAGTTCTCCATATGATGTCACGGGAAACTCAAACTTATCCAGTGAAGTTGCTCAGTCGTGTCTGATTCTCTGTGATCCCATGGACTGTAGCCTACCAGGCTCCTCCATCCATGGAATTTCCCGGGCAAGAGTACTGGAGTGGGTTGCCATTTCCTCCTTCTCCAGGGGATCTTCCCGACCCAGGGACCGAACCCAGGTTTCCCGCAAATGTTTCAGCCAACTCAATATATATGGCATGGTCACTACATGCATGACCCATGGCCAGCATTGCATGGTGGGTATGAGTGATGACTCTGTAACCGGGGACGGTGAAATCTTGCAGCAACCAAGACTGACAAAAAAAAGACTGACAATGATCCTGAGGTCATGGGGTTCCAACTCCATTTCTAGTTTTTACCACTGGCGAAAGGCAGGATAATGTTGCCCGTGTACGCTGCATGTTTAGTCACTCAGTCATGTCCGACTCTTTGCAACCCTACGGACTGTAGCCTGCCAGGCTCCGCTGCCCACGGAATTTTGCAGGCAAGAATACTGGAGGGGGTTGCCATTTCCTCCTCCCGAGGATCTTCGCGACCCAGGGATCAAACCCGTGTCTCCTGCGTCTCCTGCATTGGCAGACGGGTTCTTTGACACAGCGCCTCCTGGGAAGCTCAACAGAGCTCCCATATATCTCCAAATGGAACCTGGGGATGTGGCGCCTTATATGACAAAAGGAGAGTCTATTCCAGGCTCTGTGAGTGGGTCGAATACAACCTCATTTTGAAGGTCTTTGTAAGGGAAAGAGAGAGGCAGTGGCGTTGGTGTCAGAGCTGCAGCGAGAGAGGTTTCAGGATGCTACGTGACGAGCTGTGAGGATGCAGAGGGCTGCCCCAAGCCAAGGGATGCAGTTGGTCTCTGGCCACTGACAGAGGCAAGGAAGTAGGCGTTCCTGAGAGCATTCACGAAGGAACGCGGCTCTGCCAACACCCTGATTTCAGCCCTCGTGGACCCATTCTGACATCGGACCTGCAGAACCATAAGGTCATCCACTTGGGTTGCTCGGACCCACGAAAGCAGTGGCGACTTGTTGAGGCAGACCCAGGAGATGAAAACACGGGTTCTGTGCCCGTGGGCACTCGGATTAACCGTGCCGTTGTGTTCTGTGCTGTGTTACAAACACAGAAGATGTGAGTATTCCACGGGACTAGGACCCCGGGACTTCCTGCCCGGAAGGCAGGAGATCACCAACAGCGGCATTTTCATCACAGTTAGAGTCAGTCGCTCAGTCCACTCTCTGTGACCCCGTGGGCTGCAGCCCACCAGGCTCCTCTGTCCATGGGATTCTCCAGGCTAGAATACTGGAGTGGATTGCAATTTCCTTCTCCAGGGGGGGATCTTCCCAACCCAGGGATCGAACCTGGGTCGTCCTGCATTACAGGCAGATTCTTTACCACTAGTGCTACTGGGGAAGTGATTCAAAAGTAAGCAGAACATGAAAGGGCAAACAGGAGGGAATGCAGGGAGGAGCCAGGAGTGGGTCAGAATGTCCCCATAAGACGCTCACCAAGGCCTCCCGCTCACAGACCCCGGGGAAGGCAAACGGAAATACGGCAGCCTTGCGCTCAGACAGGCCAGGGCTACTGGGTCCCTCTGGCAGAGAACACGGGGATGGATGGAAAAACAGACACACTACTTCCCCCCACCCCACCCCACCCCCTAGAGCAGTGCCCGTTTAAAACATGCTGTGCATAACTGGGGGCCAGGAATAAGCCCAGAAAATGCCTCGCCTGGAGGAACACCGGCTCTAAATCAACAGCCTTTGCGTTGGCTAGAGAAGGAGAAAGATGGTTAGCAGAGCAAGGCGGAGCTTGGGCGTAGTAAGGAAGATACAAGAGAAAAAAAGAGGTGATGGAGGCTGGATTCATTCTTTCTGAAAATGCCCAAACAGAGGAAAGAGCACGGTCTAAATTTAAAACCCTGGTCGAGTCACTGTCAAATCGGCACATTTCACATCCTGCTGGTCCTCGGTCCTGACGGGGAATCACAAACGGATGATGACTGAGTCAGTCTTTCTGCAAAATTCCCCCACCATTCACTCTGAGACTCTTGTTAGGCAAAGCTGTCTCCAAACCCGCCTTCCATTCCTGTCTTTGTCAAATGCTGCCACCCCGCAGGTCCAATGCCTCTGAGTGGCAGGAGCGTATGCCTGTCACTCTTTTGCCTCATCTGGGCACAGAGTTGTAGGAAATATTCCATTTGTCATTTTGTTCCCTCCTCTTAGGCATCTCCCTGCCTAGATAACACTGCTTCCCTGGGTTGAGGTGAACCAGAAGGAAGCAGAGGCTTCCCTTGTGGCCCAGCGCTAAAGAACGCACCCGTCAATGCCTCTCAAGAGTGCTCGCCCGAATTAAAAGACCAAGCTATAGCTCCAGTGTCTCAATTTCTCACAGCAGGAGGGGACAGGCATAGGGCATTGGGTATTTAAAAAAAAAAAAAACTGTTATTGGAGGGTAGTTCATTTAGAATATCGTGTTAGTTTCTGATTCACAGCAAAGTGATTTGTCTATACACACATATATCTATTCTTTTTCAGATTCTTTTCCCACTTAGGGTATTACAGAGGATTGAGTCGAGTTCCTGTCCTATACAGGAGGCCCTTATTGCTATCTCTTTTATATATAGTAGTGTGTATGTGGGTTTCCCAGGTGGTGCTCGTGGTAAGGAACACAGCTGCCAGTGAAGGAGACTTCAGAGATGTGGTTTTGATCCGTGGGTCAGGAAGATCCCTTGGAGGAGGGCATGGCAACCCAGGCTAGTATTCTTGCCTGGAGAATGCCGTGGACAGAGAAGGCTGGCGGGCTACAGTCCATGGGGGTCACAAAAGAGTGGGACACAATTGAGCGACTAAACAACAACAAGGAAACATATGACAAAGGTAATTAACCCAAGCAGCATCTCACCCAAGACGCTCTAGCTTCCATTCTCCTCGATGCATTCATCCAAGAGACTAAAAGGCCACCAGATAGAGATGGGACAGGGCACAGAACTGCCCAGCTTCCATCAAGTACTATCCACAGTCCAAGAGGGCAAAAATAAAGAAGAGTTGTCTGCTCACGTCACTGATGAAGAGGAAAGGTGAAGACCTGCAGAACACCTTTAAAATAACTGACCTGGTTTGAAAAGTTGAAGGTGACGATTGAAGCCAGACATCAAACAGCAAAATTATCTGTGCCAAGGGTCAGCACGTGTTCTCTCTCAAGAGCCGGGCCAGGGCCGGGGACTGGGGGGGCGGGCACTATTTCATGGAGTGTCAGTGGTTTGCCCAAGTTCTCAGAAGCTAGCTCAGAGACAGTGGGGCCAGACTCCAGCCAATGAGGATGGCTTTATTTCAGGAAATCCTGGTC